ATGTTTATTCAGAGAAAGTACGTTTTTGTGTCTGATTTCGTAACTTAATTAATAGTTAGCACTAATTAATTAGCATATTTGAGGTCACCCCCAGGAACCATTAAGATTGACACTTAGTTCGTGAAAATCGGATCATTAGAACGAAAGTTATTCAGGGTGATATCTTTTTTTTTTTGCGGACTGTACTGTAATGCACTTCATCTAAAAAAAAAAAATTTCTCAACTATGTCTTATGACAAAAATAATGAAAATGTTAAGAAAGATTAAAATTTCTGCCTGAAAAATAAGGTTTCACCTGATAGTTTTTTTTATTATTAATTAAACTAGTTTTTGAAAGTAATTAGGATGTGCTTAATTATAAATAAAATTGAAAACTGGGCCTTTTTTTAAATTAAAAATTTTTGCACATAATAACTCAATAATAATGTAAGAAATTCGAAAGGAAAGTGCCTAAATAAGAATTCTCAATGCAAAATAAAACTTTCTAATAGTGGCAGATTTCTAACTGTTTAAGTAGTATTGATTGAAATCGTTGATACCATGTCAACAAATATATCTTGATTCAGGCTACAAATGAGCATTTGGAAACTTTGCATTAACTTTTTAGTTGGAATGAAAATATATTAAAAAATAAATTTTAATCTGAATGTAAATTTTACTCGATCTTATTTCATCTGAGGTGTTAAAAAGAGTAGAATATATCTGAAAAGAAATATAATAGCAAGAGAAGTTCCTGAAAATGGAAATCTTATAGTTTTACTTTGTGTATTAGCCTTTTTTAATGACTAAAACTGATCAAAAGAAGTACAATGTTGATCATTTGAGCAATTATGACCCATATTAGCACAATTGATACGAAGAACCTCTATATATTTCAAAGATATCTTGTAAGGAAATATAAAAGTTTAAAGTGTATTTAGAAATCAGAGAGTACTCTCATTTATGTCAAAGAGCATCGTTTATAGGATATAAATTGTATCAATAAATTATAGAAAATTGTCAGACAGGTACTTAGAAGATTCTGTTAAAGAAACAGTGATTTTCATAGGTAACAATGCATCATATCCAGACTCAAAACACTAACGGTACTAAAAGCTAATTAAATGCACATTAAATAACATAGATAAATTTCTGATCATCCTAACCTCATGTTTAGGTTATTGAACATGTTTTAGACATTTCTACATGCCAAAAATTGTTTAAAAATTATTAGTGTAAATCCTTACATCCCTCCTTTCATGGACTCCTTCTAGAAAGAATAAATTTTTTGTCAACTGAAAGAAAATTCTCACTGCAGCATTTAATTGGAACTAGTGTCAAATGTTTTGAACTTTTTACCTATTTCAAAAGTAAAATAAATAGAATTGTCTTCAAATATGTTTTGAAAACTGAATTTTTGAATAATTTTTATTAAATCCGTAAATAATTTAACAAAAAAAGAAGGAAAAATCCATTTTTTTAACATGCTAAACTAAAATTTCCTGACTAGAATTTCAGAAATTTTTTACTGTTATTATATTTGTCTTAAAATCTAATTGTTTGAAAACCAAATATTTTTGACCTAATGCATAAAAGCTTAAAGTTATAAAGGAGAAAATATTAGAAAGAGTAATTATGTATTTAAAATTTGAGAAAATTTCATTCGTGCTATATTTTTATGAAACACTTGTTGTTTAAACTGTGAATCGCCATAAAGCGTGATTGTTTCAAATTCAATTGTTCAATTTTGTTTTCAAATGTGTTTTGAAACTGAATGTTTGATTCTTTTTCTTTTAAATCCATAAAGAACTTTTTGCTAACAAAAAAAGAAAGAAAAATCCATTTTTTAAAAAATTTTTATAACTTTCTTGATAGCCTTATTAACTTAATTTAGTGATGTTTTAAAATGTGTCAAACTGAGTTAAAAAATTAAAATATTGTGTTTTGTCTCATTATTATTTTGTAAAAAAATATCTATGATAAGTGAAGGTCCTAGTATTCAACATAATTCTGGGAAGCTCAAATGTAGCCTATAAAACTTTTTCTGTAGTGGCAGCCTTCAGTTAAATTTGGAACAATCATGAAAACATGCATGTAAGTAACCTAGGTTAAATCTCACATTGCAAACTCAAGTGAACAAAACAGAACACATTTTTATTAGTTCTCATAAGAACGGAACATACTCATAGAAACGTAAAGTAAAATTATCTCAAAATAACATTTTTCAAGCATATGTTCTCATGAGTGAATTTATTAACTAGGTATTAAATATATTTGAACCAAAAATATCCAAACTGCTCCTTTTTCTTAGAGTAATGTTACGGTTTAACTTAATTTTTTAGATTTACCATAAACATGGTGGCATTGGTGGATCTTCGCTCGATCTGAAGTGTATCTATAATAAGTAAGTCTCTTATGTCTTACTTTGATGAAATGTCTGGTTTCCTATATTTTATGCTTATGAGTTTTTCAAACTATCTTTCTTACTAGTTATGTAAAAGATGTATTGTTTTTTAAGAAAGTCGCTAACCTTTAAGAAATTAATACCAAATGCTTAATTTATTTCTAGATTCCGGTTTGTTCGAGCCTATAGAGATGCTGAAGGCGACTGTGATTTTTCCTGTTGTTCCTTCTTTGTATGTTCATTACAGTTTCTTAAAACATTCAAATACAAGATTAAAGATCATGAAAGTACAAATAAAATTATAATTTAAAAACCAGGCATTAATAACAAACATAGATATCCCTAATAGTTTGTTACTGTACAGTTTGAATTCACATTGTCAGCCTATTTCTATACACCCTTACACTTTGAAAGATTTATGTTTTTTTTTTTAATTTGAAATATTTCACAAAAATTTCAATTAATGCTTATGGAGTTATTTAAATGAGTTCTTTGCAATTTTTCAGGCTAAGGCATGAGTTCCTAAACACTTTTAGATTATCCCCAGATTAGTTTTTTATGGAAAAACAATTACATTGGTTGTAGTAGAATTAATGTTTTTGATTTTTGCCTGTTTATAATTGTGTCTATTATACATTAAAAATGGGAGCTTAAAAAAAGCAATTTTTGTTTAAATTTTAAACTTTTATTACACGCTATTCTTTTTTTCTACTTTTATTTCTAAATTTTAAACATTTATGAGCTAAGTAGTAATTTATAATAAAAAATATGCGCTCTAAATATATTAAAGTATATTATGTCTCTATTATTATTGTCCTTATTAACTTATAAATTTTGCAACTAAATGCTATCAATGAACTTTTTTGTAGAACTATGATAGTGAAAGACGACCAAGGATTCTCGTTGGAACTGATGGCCGTGCTCTTGGGGAACTTAAAGTTTTCAATCTTAACAGTGGTGATGTAAGTTCAATTTCCTATAATAGTATTATAATATTTTTCTTAATTTTAATTTCTTATAATATTTTTTTTCTTTTTACAAGTTCGTAAAGATTTAATAATATTGTCTACAATCTCCATAATTTTTGGTGTTGTCTTGTATATTTGATTAATATTCTGTATAAATCCAATACATTCATATATGGATTTGTTAATGTTTCTACTTTAACATAAATGAAACTTCTCTTGATAAAAATCAAACTTAACAAAATACACGACCAAAATGTTTATTTATCAAAAGCCGCCACAAGCTCCCCAACATTGTCTGGAAGACAGTCACACAGAAAATTTTTCATGATTAATCTTTACTTCAGAAAGCTGAAAGGCTGACTTTAAACTGTCTATGCTAACAGTCTGCTGGCAGGATCCAACTTAAATTGTGAAACACTTTGGAGACCTAGATAGTACTAGATATGGTCCACTGTGTGAAGGAACATGAGATTTCCTTATTCCGCCTAGTCAAGGAAGAACATGAATACTGCTATTAAATTTTTAATAAACAAAAATGGTTTTCCCATAAAGTTTTGAGGTTGGAGTTGGTCACAAAGATTTAACACTATGTTGCAACGCTGTACGAAAATCATTAGTAGCTACATTTTTAGACTTAGAAAGAAATTCTCCAGGCAAAGTTAAATGTGCACTATGCACCATCTCAGTAACAGAACATGTTAAAGTTTCTTTCATTGAAGCTCTAACGCCCAGTAATATAGAAGGCAATACTAAAGTGCGCCTATCTATCGAATGAGCTCAAATTGTACTCTTTATTTGCCTATGTATTCTCTCAACATATCCATTGGATTGAGGATAATAATGTGTGGTATGAATGAGCTTAATACCTATAATACTGGCAAATTCTCGGAATAGATCACTTTCAAACTATCTTTCCTGATCTCTTGTAAGCCTCTCAGGAACACAAAATCTAGCTATCCTGTTGAGAAAAAAGGATACCAAATTTGATGTAGAGAATGTTTCCCGTGCTTTGAATAAAAGTGTATATTAAAGGTTTATGATCGGTATTGTAGCGGCTTACTATATTTAAAGTAATAATATTCTTTAGAAACTGCAAATAACAAGAGACAACTTTTTGTAATCACATCTTTATTTTTCCCAGTTAAATCGCTCACTTGAGTGTTTACATATTACGGGGAATCCCCGTTTGAAGTGTAAGTAGAAGTTATTTNCGATAAAAATTAACCATTCCTAAGAAGGAGCGAAGTTCATGTATAGTTTCAGGCAAGGGATATTCTATTCGGCTTACTATATTTAAAGTAATAATATTCTTTAGAAACTGCAAATAACAAGAGACAACTTTTTGTAATCACATCTTTATTTTTCCCAGTTAAATCGCTCACTTGAGTGTTTACATATTACGGGGAATCCCCGTTTGAAGTGTAAGTAGAAGTTATTTCCGAAGCGTTTCTTGTTTTTATCTATAGGTGTCACTACCACAGTGTGACGAGGTTACCAACCCGACATCACTAGCACAATGTGACGAGGTTACCAACCTGACATCACTACCGCAATGTGACGAGGTTACCAACCCGACAGTATAAATGGAAAGTTCGCGCCCTACCTATAAGTAAGAAAAATGACGAATAGACGCTTAAATAGCTTCAATCATAAACACTATAACGCTGCTCAGCTGTGGGAAGCTTATGGGGGAAAATGTCAAAGGTTTGAAGTCCTTTCCTTTTCTTTGACTTACAACTGCTCCAATAGCCGGTTTAGAAGTATCATACACTAAAGATAATTTCGCATCCTCAGACGGGTGCACTGACGTGGTTGATTCGATTATACTAATCTTTCATTTATCAAAATCAAGTTTTGCTTCCATCGTCTAAATGATAGGTCAATTATAATTTTTCTTAGCTCCTTTAAGGTAATCAGACTGTATCGATTACAGCATTTTTCAAGAATTTTTGATAAAAGTTAATTAGAGCTAAAAACTGCCTTGACTCTTTAGCCGTCTTAGACTGTGGATATTTGTTTATTGCCTTAACTTTCTCGTAATGGTTGAATTCCCCTTTCAGCAATCACATATTCGAAGAATTTTATAGACAGTTGCCCCAAAACCCATTTTTCCACATTGCAAAAAAGTCTGTATTTTGGTAATCTATAAAAAATTTCTTCCAGATATTTTAAATGCTGAGTTTCATTTTCAGATGCAACGAGTAGATTGTGGAGATAAATAAAACAAAAGTTTTGATCTTCTACAGTCTCATACATAAATCTCAGAAATGTTTGTACCCAACAAACCCAAACAACATAAAAAGAATTCAATCAATCAAAACGGAGCTACGACAGCTGTTTTTGGAACATCAGCAGCAGCAACTGGTACCTGGGGATAAGCTCTTACAAGATCAATAGTCGAAAAAATCATTTTAATATAAAGATTATGAGCAAAATCATGCACACGAGGAATCGGAAACAGTTTGAGAATTTAACCACCTATATTCTCCGTATGACCTCCAATCATTCTTTTTGGGTACTATGTTATGTGGGCTAACCCATGCACTTTTTGACGGTCTACACCAACCCTGGGATATACTCAAATTTCTCGCTTTGAAGCCTGTAAATTTTTAGGAGTTACTTTTCAAGCTTTAGAATAGATAGGTGCACTACGAGTTTTAATATAATGCTCAGTGTTATGTTTTACCTGAAGTGGAGATTTTGGTTGACTTCGTTTGGTTATACCTTTACACCTATTGCTGGTTCGAGGGACCACTGATAATAATTTTATAATGGTGTGGATCAAATATTAGAGGTCTTTGACCAGGGGACTATTGTTAGTATTAAGCCCTGTATATAATGAGTTGAAGCTTTATTTATTTTTTGTAATTTTGGACACTTTCTTGTCAGCAGTAAATAAGGGAATATCATCCTCCCCTTCCTTCATAATTATGCAAGAAAGTTTTAACATTCTCTCTTTTTTTTTGCTTTTACTGCAGTGATATAATTTTAAGAATTTGAGAATTCAATTAAAATATGATATCTAACTTTACATGTTATAAAATTTATGTTTCTATTCATTTCATACTAATATTTGTGTTTTCTATTTTTATTTCAGGAAGAAATTTCTAAAAACAGCCATTTCAGGGGGTTGTCACACATAGAATCATCTAATGTGAGTAGTTTCTTTCATTAAATTATATAAATTAATTCATGTAAGACAATTATCTCTTGAAACTGTGATAAAGGTCCCATAGACCTTCTGATGTAATTAGAATCTCCTCATGCTGTATTATTAATCTTGTGACGCATTCTTTATGCTCTAAGAATGATAAGGAAACTAATAGTGCTTCTAAAGAAGGTATTGATCTGGATCTTTTCAACTTCTCTTTAGTTTAGCTACTCCTGTTTTTGTAACTCACATTTCAAACTTTTCTCTGACTTTATACATATTCTGCCAAGTATATTCTGAAATTTTTATGGATCTTCTTGAAATTTTGAAAAAAAAATATTTGACTACAGATTTCTCACATAAAAATTTGTTACTTTCAAGTTCAGAGATAGTGATAAACTTTATAATAAATGTTTGGGTAAAGAATCTATTTGGTGCAATATGTTGGTTTAAAGTTATTAATTTATATATATATATATATATATATATATATACTTTTNATATATATATATATATATTATCTTGTCATTAAAACAATTATTTCTAGATTTTTAATCCATATTCTCTTTGTTGACATTACAAAGTACATCACTCAACCTTGGATCCTTTTACAGAAAATCATTGCATTTTCTCAAACTATTTTGAAAATGTTATTTATACCTTAACATTCACTTATTATGAGCCCTGATTTAATGAGAATGTGTATTTAACCTAAAAATCAAAAATACTTGGTTTGTAAAATGTTAAGTCTATTGCATCATGACTAGCTTTTGATAAGCAAATTCTAGATTTAGAGAGCAATATTTTTATGATTAAAAAAATTGCTATTCATCCCTTCTTCTATTTCATCCCTTCAGCTTAGCTAATCCCTTCTTGGAAAAATTCTTTTTTGTTGCTTTTCAGGCTGACAAATTTATTTTCAGATTAATAAATTCCTTTTTTCTTTTTTTTTTAGCCATAAGTCTTATCCGAAGAACAATAACAACAAAGAGACGATAAGACTGTTCAAAGCAACTTGATTAACTTCATTTATATTGTACAAAAATAAAAAATAAATTGAGTAAATACAATGTACCCTACCTTGAGCTCCCTGGAAAGAAGTTCCACCAGGGAATGAGGTCAAGTTTAATGGGAATTTTCTTTTGGGCACCATGAACCTCCTGGAGACTGTTTCTTGGCAAAAAACTCAACCCTTTTTTTTTCCAGCTGGTATCTACTACCCAGAATCCTCATTCTTGCATTGAATCATGATTTTTGGGAACTAAATATGATATGGCACCAATTAGCTCCTAATTTTTTTTATTACATAAAAGAAGATAACAAAATTCTTAAAAGAAAAATGTGCCAGAACAGTTTTCAAGACAATAATTGAGGAGAAATATTCTGTTTTCTTAATGCATGTCAACTAAAAGATAAATGAGTTAACTAAAAATAGTTATTCAAGATAGAGTTAACTAAGAAATTATGGCCAACGAAATGAACCTTTAATTAATTGCACCTTTGAGTGTAACAATAAATTTGACAGTTTTGCATTTGCAACTTTAATTTTTGAATTCTGATTATCTCTAAAAATAATAATGTTAATTCTAAAACAACACTGCTTAAACATTTGGCTTTAGATATTGGTTTAAAGAAAATATGATCAATGAATTTTATCATGAACACCGTGTAGATAAAATACAGTTTAAAATTGCTCTATATTGAAATGTAAATAAATATAAAAATTTATTGATGTATAATCACAAGGAATTATTTTCTTTTGCTTAATGAAAATATGTTAAACAGTACTTATCCAAGGTTTTTTAGGTCATTCTCTATTTACCATTTGGTACTCTTGAAGCAAAAACTATTTAAAGCAACACATTAAAACATTTTTTATTTAATAAAAACAATATATTCTACAGGCTAAACATATTTTCTCCACATCTATCTTAATTTTTTAAAAATTAATGTTGTACCAAAACATAAAAAGTTTAAAAGGTAAAGAACAAAATCTTGCTAAGTTGTTAAAATAAATTTAGTCTATTTATTCAAGATGATGTATATAAAAAAAAATAGTATATTAAATAAAATACTTTATAGTATTGATATTTTTCTTATACCCATCCCTTAACTTCTTGTGAAAAAAAGCGTACTGACCTGGTAATTTTAAGATTTTTACCTGGAAAAATCAGGGAAATTTGAAACCTGATTTAAGTGGCCACCCTGTATAAAAGCTGTAAAAGTAGCTTCTTGAACTATACTTTTATAAGTATTTTTTACGTAAAATGATTTTACAAATCACGAGAAATTGTTTTTGTACAAATCTCAAATCTATAAATTAATGTAATTTTAAGGAAACACATTTATTTAACTATTAGTAAAAACAGTAACTTTTATAAAGTAACTAATAAAACAAGGTTATAATTTAAGTCATATTTTTACAAAATAACAGGAACAAATAAGCGTTTCTGAAATTCAATTAATTAATTCTTAAAAGACCAATATGTAAACATTACTGTTTCAGGGTGCCCAGCGACAGAGAAAATAGAGAAAACCTGAAATTATCAGGGAATTTATTGGTTCTGGAAATATCAGGGAATTTTTAAATTTTTTTAATAAAACAGGGAAATGTTTCCAAACAACAAGTGATCGAAGCTTCCGTGAGCTAAGAATGACACAAAAAAGTTTTCTCCCATATTTCTTCCAAGTGGTCCTGAAGTTTCGGATTGTTTTTTCAGCAGTAATTCATCATTTTTCCTGGCGTTTCCCAATGAGTTTCCCAAATATAATGTTTAAAATTATATATTTAATACATTTGTGATGATTCCATCGTAATTTCTCATCTTTAGATGGTAGGTTTTTGGAAATTATTTATAGTTTTCAGCCTTTTTCACATGGCTTTTCAAATTTTAATATTTTTTATACAGTGGTACAGTCGGACCTCGATAGTTTGACGCTCGCTTAATTCACCACTCCGGTTATTTTGACGCTTTTTTTCAAGTCCCGATTGATTTGCATTGGATTCAGTGTTAACAAACTCTGTTTAATATGTCATGGGGAAGTTATGAACTCCGGATGAAATGACACTTTAAATAATAATGCACTGGGAAATTGCTGTTCTCCAGTCAACTTTTGCGGAAATTTCCACTTGGCTAATTTTGCCATTCGCACTAGGCGACTGGTTCTTGGAATTCAGACACTGGAAGCGTTTTTCCCCTGCCCTTTTGTCTCACCCCTCCTTCCACCACCTCTTGCAGAAAGAGTTGCAATAATGCTCCTTATCTCTGACCTTACGAGGGGGTAACGGTGGGGGGAGAGATATCAGAAACCGAGTATCTTGGAATGCGTGCCTTTTCTTCTGTCTCCTGCAAAACTTAGTACGGCGTAGCGGTGCGGTCTCAAGTCTCTCTAGTCTTTAGTTCAGTGCCATGGCGAGTAAACTTGGATACAAATCTTGGATATTGGATGAAAAGCTCCAAATGATAAGAAAATTTGAGCAATCTGGAATGTCTGAGGCTGCTTTTGCAAAACGGAAAGGAGTCCCTTGCACAACGTTCATTGCCATTTGGTCCTTAAAAGATAAAATTGAAAGTTCTTTGCATGTTCAGGATGGCGAGAAGAGAAAGAGAATGCGTGTTTCGACCTTTGAAGATGTTGAAAATGCCCTTGTTAAATGGTTTAGAATGGCCCGAGCCCAAAACATTCCAATTTCGGGACTTATCTTGAAAGAGAAAGCGTTGCAATTTGCGAACGAACTGGGTGTTTCGGAGTTTTCGGCGAGCAATGGCTGGTTTGAACGTTTCAAAGAGACATGGAATTTCCTTCAAAAAGATGTGCAGAGAAGCAGCGGCCGTTGATATGCCTCCTGTTGAAGAATGGAAAATTGGTCTCTTAAAAGGTGTTCTCCAGCGTTATAACCCTTGTGATGTATTCAACCTTGATGAGACAGGTCTCTTTTTTTGACTTGTGCCTGACAAGACTTTGACTTTTCACTCAGAGGATTGCTCAGGTGGGAAGAAAAGCAAACAACGAGTTACCGTTCAGTTAGGAGCAAACATGGATGGTTCCGAAAAACTGAAGCCTCTGGTCATAGGCAAAAGTGCAAAACCAAGGTATATACAAAAATGTAAAGTTTTTGAGTGTATCATATGAAGCAAACTCAGTCTTGGATGACCTCCAATGTTTGGGAAAAAACTCTGAAAGAGTTTGACAAAAAATTCCATGCAACAAATTGTAAAGTGGCGTTTGTTGTGGACAATTGCACAGCGCATACTGAGGTAAGAAACCTTCAATCAGTGGAGTTACACGGTGCGCCTTAACCAAAGTTAAATAAAGTGCTCTTACACCTAGAAAATTAGAAGAGATTCTGAATTTACAATGTTCTTAGATAATAAAAATCGAAAAATTAAAATAATCTGTGGAGAGATTTTAAAAAAAATCCACTTTGATCATTTTTGCGCACGGAGTTTGATATTTTGGAAAATCTGGCGTTGTTTTATTTCAGTAAAAGGAAAAAAAATGATATAATAATGATTTTTCAGTTGTAATTCTATTAAACTTTTATTATTTAAACATTTTAATGCTGATAAAATATGAAAATGTAACATAATTTAATTATAATTACATCAATTTAAACATGTGAAGCATTATATCTACAAACAGCTCTCGAAAGGTGTTTAGAATAATCCGGGTGATTTGCAGCAACCTTATTAATTTCCCAGGAAGATTTCAAGAAATCAAAAGGTATGGACTCCATCGCCTGCTCCCCAAAAAATGCTAATCCTTCACCGTTTTTGTCACAGTACTGTTCAATGTGAAAAAAAACTGCATGAACCTTTGGTATAACGCTGACACCTAAGTCCATGTAGCTCTTTTTGAAAGCTTCTGTACATGCTTTGAAATTTTGGTCAAGATTATTTCCGAAGCATGCAGAAACCACTTTTTTGAAGTCGTCAAATACTTTAACGTACTTCAGTATTGCTAGATTTTTAAACTGGTGCAGAAGTTCTTCTTTATCCAAA